GAGCTTCAGGAAAGTTCCAGAGAAGTAGAGGCCTTGTGGCTGAATATCGGTTAACGGTGATGGGTTGCACATCTGTGACAGTATTTGAAGGCAAGGACAAGAATTGCGATTTCATTTACTGGGGTACAAGTGAACCTGACAAGAATAGGGGTAATGATGCTATGAGGAGTCTAGTACAAGAGAGAATACAGGCTGCAAAGGTCTGGGTGAGTTTGAGCTTATGAAGGTTAAAGCTCAACAATGAAATTGAATGACTGCAGAAGAACACTTTTGCCTGCACACATTGCTCCAAATGACTTTTCCCATTTCCCACGCTATAAACTGGAGTCAGTTTGCCAATTTGCCCAATTGCTGACAGTACTAGGAACCAGATCTTCCATAAACAGATTCCAACTCTGTTTGCATACAACATTTACTGCTGATGACCAACTTTCAACCCATTAGTCAAAGCTGAATGAGAACTCCAGCTTCAGAGACAAAATAGTATAGTAGCCAACCATGTTCCCAAAATATTAAGAGCATTTTTTTATAAAATTATGTATTTGCTAAATAAAGATTTTTAAGTATTCCTTGGTCTAAGGCAGTTCTATTGCTCTTTCCTCTAGTCTTTTTGTTCATGCTCAAGAGTGCCACCTAGTGGCAATCGACCGATTTGAGGCCTTTGGTCGAGTGCTTAGTGTGATACTAATCAGACACTACATTTTCTTTCATTGGAGGTTTGTATTTAAATATGTAAGGGACATTCCATTTCCAACTTGGACAAGTTTACTAAACTGAAGTCAGTGAAGCTTTCATAGGAAAACCACCTTAAAACGCCCTAAAGATAAATCAAAACATGGCCCCAGGAATGAATCGTACAATATATTACATTTGTAAAGCTTCCTTCACCTCAGGAGGACATCCTAAGGTGCTGAACAGTCAGGGATTAGTCAGGGTGGGAGAGTGGTGGGGGGGGGGGGTTGGGATCAGGGAGGGTGGAGAGCAGAGAGGGTGGCCATAGGCACGATCGAAGAGGGGCACTTTGAAGAAGGCATGGGATGGAGCGAGGCAAAGGGACTTTGGGATAGAGTTCCAGAGGGTGGTGGCAGAGAGACTGAAGGCCCGACCACGAATGGTTGGGTGGGCCGGACAGGGGACATGGAGCAGACCTGCTGAGCGGAGGGAGATTGATAAGAATTTAGCAAGTCGGAGAGGTAAGAAGCGGCTAGGCTATGGAGGGCTTTGAAGGTGAGGACAAAAATTTTGAACTCGATCCTCTGAAGGATGGGGAGTCAGTGGAACCGAGCGAGGGTGGATGTGATGGGGTCACAGAGCCTGGTGTGGGAGAGAAAATGAGCCGCAGAGTTGTGGCTGATCTGCCGCTTGTGAAGGGAAGAGTTGGGAAGACTGACAAGCAGGGAGTTGGCATAGGATGTAATGAAAGTTTTGGCGGCCTAAGGAGTGAGGCAATGGCGGAGTTGGGCAATGTTGCGGAGATGGGGGAAGGCAGAGCAGGTCATGGCAAGGATGAATGATGGATGAATCCTACATCCTGATGTGCAGCATTATGAATACAACACTATCCAGTCATAGATTAATCTGTTGCGACTTCAGGTGGAAGCTAATTTAAGTAGGGTAAGGCATACCTGCTAAGATATATACTTGCATTTGTTGAGATATGCAAATCATACCACATCACAATATTAAGATAACATTAGCCAAATCACAAGATTCACAAGATTTCATCCCTCCAAATTACCCACCCTTCCGTCCTCCCATCATAGTGTCGAGCTGCTTTTTAAACGTTGTGTCTGCCTCTACCACCTTTCCTGGCATCCTGTTCCAGTTATTGATTACCCCGAGTATCCAAAATCTTTCTGCTATCTGTTCTGAAATTGCCCTTTTACAACTCTAAACCTAAATCCACTTGTTCTACTGTCTTGATGCATCCTAAAGGGTTCACTTTTTCAATCCCATATAAAATTATATACACCTTTATAAGGTCCTTTCTGAGTTATAGTCCCTCAAGACTAAGGAGCTCTAGCTTGTCTAATTGTTGATAATAGCTCATTTCTCTGACACTGGGGAGCATTGTTATTTTCCTCTGCACTGCTTCTAGGGTCTGGGCATCCAACTTATGTTCCAGTGACCAGAACTGTACGCAGTACTATAGGTGCAGCCTGACCAAAACACAATACAACCCGAGTATGACATCTGGGAATCAAAAGGAGCACCTGAAAGATACTACATTTGTGGAATTAAAACTGTCTTAATACTTTAATCTTCCACACATCAAGTATCTTTCTAAAGATAAGGAAAACCAACCAGAATCAAAAGCACTACAGGAGTTTTTTTTAAAAAGGGAGACGAGGGTGCAAACAATTTTATTTTCACTCATCCTTTCCAAATTTTCCCTGACATTAAAAAACCCCAAGAGACAAACATTTTGTAATCAGCTTCGAGAGTTCTCACTCTGTAACTAGTTACAAAGAGGTGTATGAAAGAAAACACCCCTGGGACTGCTTTTCTGAGGGCAAGTGTTTTGTGATCTGCTTGGCTCTTCTTATAGATCATCTCATAGATTAGAGAAGCACAAACTGATAAATAATGAGTGTGAACCAACATTCTAATTTCTCATCTTAAAATATTGGGAACTTACTGGACCACCACGTTTAAAATTTCTACAATTTAAGACATTAATTAATTAATGCTTGGGTGACACTCAGATAACAAGCCCTACGTCTCTGCAATTTCAAACAGGAAGTTTTAATGTTTCACAAGAACATGGACATCCTTGCTAACAGATATATTTAGAACAATCATCTATTTATGTCAGCCCTCAAATAAAATCATGCATACAATTCTGACTATGAGCATTAAGGGAGTACATTGACAGAGGAAGTTATTCCCAAACTATTTTCACTCCTCATTTAACCTTCCAAAGTTAGCTCCAATGATGAAATTGCATCATCAAACCGTAAAAATAAAATACTGTAGTTGCAAAGATTTCTGATCAACATCTTTTCATTTGTGTTTTATCCATTTTGGTTCTTTTTCCAGTTTAAAAGTGAGGATTACTGTACTAAATAATTTTACTCAAGCCCAATTGTGAAGGAGCTAAATCATCATTGGCATAGAGAACCAAACCAATTTAGTATCATTAATGTATTTTAATTCAGCAACATGTCCAAGCTTGTACTCAAATAATGCTATCCGTGTTTATTGCTTACTTTTTACTATCAAATATCAACAGAAAATTGACAGAACAAAGTTCTGTAAATAATTCTTTGTACTAAAATTGGTAAGATACTTTGAACATATCTGTTACAAGTTATCAAGTCTTTCATCCGAAATCTAACCGGCTACATCAAGTATGAATTTCAACTAACCTAGTACAAAATAAATGGCTCACAAACAATTTCTACAAGAAAAAGTATGTTAAATCTGTCTCCCCTGTCGTCATTTAGATTATATTTTTCGACTACTTATCCACTGGGAACTCATTTAACATTCCACATCTATGCGTAATGCGAGCATTCCCACTGAACCTGAAATGATTTCTAGGGTTTGGGACGAGTTGGAAAAGAGGAAGAGGGAAGGAAAAGAAGAAGGGGAAACTACTGTATTCAAATGCGTTTTTGACTGCAGTCTCAGATTTACGAGTCTACAACAAATTAAACAAAAAATTGTGATGCAATGAATCATCTTGTTATATAGTTGCCAAGCTTTTTTAAAAAAGGGGGTAGTCAGCTGCAAGTATATTTAAACAAAGAATATCTTAAGAGCTGAAAAGTTAAAATTTTGAACACAAAAACATCTGGCAGCCCCAATGTTCTGAGTTAATTTTAACCCCCTCCCCCAAACTGACTATTCTTGGACTTTTTAATTTTGTAACGACCAGGTGAATTGATGTTACAGATCTATGTGCAAAAGACTGCTGGAGAGAAAAAAAAAGCAAAACCGAGGGGGGGGGGGGGGGTTAAACAGTTTTGTTTTCCGATTTTTTTTCTTTTTTATATTAAAAAGTCCACGTGATTATGCTTGCTTTGTAAATTTAAGCTTGGGAGAGGGACTCCTTTGTTCTGTGCTCATGGGGTATTTCTGTGGCGCAACAAACTAAACGTTAACATGTCGGTCAGGCAGGCCATTGATTTACATAAAGCTTCACTGCCAAAATGGAGTCTGTAATCTGATGAGACAGCATGAAACCAGATCCGCCCCAGAGGCTCCCGTTCGAGAAGGTTTTTCACGGACAAAAGAAGTTCGGAGACAAGACATTCAATCTCGTTAATTACAAGAAATAAAATCAAATTATTCCCTATGTTTATATATATATATATATATATTTTAAAAAGCTTCCAACCCTCCGCCCTCCCACCAAGTATAAAACTTACCATGATGAGCAGTGTAATGTTATGGACAAATGGATTTTTTTAAAAAAACAAGCATGCACAAATTGTAGCCTTTTTTAAAAAAAAAGGACAGGAAAAGCCCTTCCCAGCAAACATACTGTACAGAGAGAGAGAGAGAGATAAGAGATGCAAACTGCTTAGTATTCATCTCCCATGAAACTGATTTCCTTTTTTTCTCTTAAAAAAATTAAACAGGTAGATATAGATAAGATAATGGCAAGGTTAAAACTTATAAAATAAAAAGTTATTGCAGAATGGTTGATATATAAGAATGTTACTCGACCTTTCATCCCCTGCCAGCTCAGACTCTGTCATGTTTAGAGCATCATTTTTGTCAACTGGGGTTGGGGGACTGGAGAAAAGGCTTTCAAAAGCCATTGGTTTTGTTTTGCCCCACAAAACAGAACAAGACTGAGAGAGAGAGAAGAGACACAAGAGTCTCCCAAAACTGAGACGTTGCTGGTGTGACTGTTGATGGCTGAAGATGAAAAAAACTTCACGGTCAAACAGTTGGCTTTTTTTGGTTAAACAAAATAACACAAGAGCGTTCAGTCTTACGCGAGTCTTATTTGGTTAAACTGTTTGCGTATTGGCTCTAGAGTTTGATACCCCTCTTTTTTTTCCGCCGTTTTGTTCTTGGTGAGTTTGGTTGGCGAGAGGAGAAGGAATTTGTTCACACGCTGTGGTTATTCCTCACAAACATGGCGCTCGGTGCTCTGGCTTCGCGCAGCCGCGGGGACTCGCTTCTCTACCGAATTTTTTTGAAAAAAAACGACGCATTCTGCCGCCTCAACCTAACCTGACACCGGACCTCCCACCCCCGCCACTTGCGGCCTCCTATTGGCCCATCGCCGGTGGGTCTCGTTGAAGTGCCTCGTCAATCAGGCTCTCGCCCGCGTCATTTCCGTGTCAGCACGTTAGGTTGGTGTCTGTGTGCGCGTGCACGCGCCCGCGCGAGAGAAAAGCTGCGAATGTTCCAGAGAAAAAAAGAGGAACGGCCCTCGCTGGGCGCCATGATACTTTGGTGATGTGGTCGGCGATGGGTGCGGCCACTTCCCTTCACCCCCCCACTCGCTGGCCTCTGTACCCCCTCCCCCGTCTCTTCGGACTGGGTCCTGGGACAAAAACTCGCAGAACGCGACCCGCCGCTCGCGCATTTGCTCATGTATTAGGAAGGCGAGGATCAGTGTAAAAGACACCCGACTTTTTCCTGTCTGGAGCAGATCATTCCCCCCCCCCCACCCCGGTCTGGCGAGTGTTAAACACCCAAGAGCTGCGCTGGGGAGGAGCCGAGCAGCTGCTGGACAAAATGGCGGCGGCGGCGGCAGGAAATGCCTGAGGGGGAAGAGGAGTTGAGTGAGCGGATCGTCCCGACCTGTAGGTCGCAGCCTTTTAATGTCAGGATTGAGGGCGCTGAGGCGTCTCCAAACCTCCTCGTTTTGAGTAAAAATTGGGGGTAACTATTCGACGCGGCGTTATAGTGAATTGGGCAGAAAGCGTATCAGAGGAAAGGTGGTCACAAGAGCCGGCTGCTTTTAGACGACCCAGCCTGCCCTGAAAATATTGCCCTTTCAGTAGGATTGCCACTCCTTCAGCGTTTTTGTTAAATTAAAAAAGTTCCCCGGGTGGAGCCACTCCCCTGCCGCCTCCCGTAAACCTATCAGGGTCTGTGTCATTCAGCCTGGCCGAGCTCCTCTTTCTTTGTCCGTTTCCCTCACGTTTGCGGTGGGTCTGGGGCGGTATGTGAAACATTCAAATTCAGTGATTTCTTTGTGGTCTTCTTGCCCTCAGCCCGTGTTTCGCTTCTGTATATTTGCCCCCCCCCCCCCCCCCCCCCCCGGCCATCGTTTCAGTTCTTCTTTTAAAAAAAATGCCTGGAGTTTTGTCTTTCAGTTGACGATTGATCCGTGAATTTGCAACATAAAATGTTGTAATACCCACTTTTCTCAGTTCTGAAAGTGAATACAATATTCACGTACAATTAGTTTAGCTCTGGTGCCCCATGAGTGATGGAACAGCCTGGGTACTTTCATATTTGATTAAAAGGCCTTTCTACCCAGAGCATTTGGTTATTTACAACAGGGCATGATAATAACCACAAATATTAATTGTAATGTTGAGTTAGCAATATTTTTTCAATAACTGATCTATATTCCCTGTTATCCTGTACATCGTTGGTGTATAATGCAGGCACCAATGTTTTTCCATCAGATATCCTTTAAATGCAGGTATTGCAATCACAAATATTGTGAATAATATAAACCATAGTAAAGTGCATTATTTAGCAGCAGAGTACAGTAGCCCTGCACTGAACAATATGAGCAAAAGAAAGTCATATACAGTGCAAGAAAAACTCAAGATAGTAAATCGGATACGATCTGGTGAATCACAAGTAAAAGTTAGTCGTGATTCTGGTATACCTCAATCGACATTACGTGGCTGGTTGAAAGACGAATTTAAGCTGCGAACCTTCACTATGACAGTTAGTGAGGCTGTGGGCTTATCCAGGAAACGAACTCGTCCAGCCAAGGATGCATCACTGGACATTGTAGTCTATAATTGGATCATGCAACAGAGGTCACAAGGCATCCCCATCTCTGGCCCAATAGTAAAGGCACAGGCTGAGAAGTTCTCCAAGGAACTTAATGGTGACACAAACTTTGTGGCCAGCCAAGGTTGGCTCCATCGGTTCAACAAGAGACATGGAATTAACCAGGTTAGTTGCTCAACTGCTGATTCATCCTACCCACAAGAACTAAAGACCATACTCGAAGAAGAGGAACTCTGTGATGAGCAGGTGTACAACGCCAGTGAAATTGGTCTGTACTACCGGATGCTGCCTGAACAAACCAAAGTGAAGAAAACGGCTGACCATGAAAGTGAAGGGTTCAAGAACAGGGTGACCTTTCTATTTTCTACAAATAAGCCAGGGACTCACAAAGTTAAGCCCCTTTGCATTGGCAAGTTACGGTCCCCTCGATGTTTCCGCCATGTGAACATGAAATCCATGCCAATTGACTACAACCACAGTAGAAATGCCTGGATGACTACAGACATCTTCAGAAACTGGTTTTTCAGTTCCTTTGTGCCAAGTGTTCAATGCCACCTTCGATCCAAAGGTCTGCCAGAGAAAGCTGTCCTGCTCCTGGACAATTGCCCTGCCCATCCTCCAGCTATCAATCTACAATCTTTGATGGACAAATTAAAGTATTCTATCTGCCCCAAAATGCAACCGGCACAATCCAACCACTTGACCTGGGCATAATTGCCACCTTTAAGAGGATCTATAGGAGGGAACTTGTGAAGGGGCTTGTGAATTCTAACTTAGCTGTTAATGAATACCTAAATCATATCAATCTAAAAGAGATGTTCTACCTGGCAGCAAGAGCATGGGATGAGGTGAGTACAACCTGCATCCAGAGGTGTTGGCTAAAGGGTCTCTGTGATGCGTTCCCAGAAGAACCAAATGATGACATCATCGAGGATGACATATTAGTGGGATTTACAGCAGAGGAAATCCAGGCAGCCCAGGAGAAGCTAAAGGATCTTATAGAAGAGAATATGACACTGAGTAACTGGTTGGATGTGTGGACTACAATAGATGATGATGTACCTGTTGTTGAGCATTTAACAGATGAGCAGCTGATAGCCCAGGTCCAGAACAATAAAGTGGGAAGAGGATGGGAAGTGGGGAACAAAAAAGAGAGGAAAAAGGGCTATTAACTGTTGTATTTGAATGCGATTTTGTGGATGCATGAACTTCCAACATACTAAACAAAATACAAAGTGAAGTAATAAATAAATGTGAACATTATCTGTCTTGTAGTTTCCAATAGGCAGGCTCAAATGTAACTATATTTCAACAAATGGAATTTAAGAGTGCAGCCCCACTGAACGTTTGGTTCACAAATGTTAGTAAACTCTTAGACACACGTCCCCAGTTAAGCACGCACTTACCTACTGTGGACTGGTTTTAACCAAAAGCATTGTGCACCTTGGCTGCCATCACTGATAACCCAGCTTTCAGCTCTTAAAAAGACAGCCAGCTGCTTCTCAGGTTGTTGTTCATGTCACTTCCTGCTTGGAAGTCGGCTTTTTTTAAACTCCCATTTATACTAGCTGCTGAGATAATAGACCCAAGACAACCGTAACTGGTTTTCTCATCTACATAGTCTCCTTTGAGAACAATCTGGTCCACTTTCCACATGCGCACCAATAACACCTATTTCTACCTTTTGGTTTCCAACCTTGTTTGTAAGACTTGCTATTCTGACATCAAGTCTTGATTGAGCCTTAACTTCATACCAATACAACAGACAATAATGCTTGGCTCCCATCAGTGCTTCCTGAGCATGTGCTGACTCAATTTTCCCAGACGCTCATTATAATTCGAGGATCCTTTACGGAAGTGTGGCGTTTTGTTCAGCCTTCCAACTTTCCTTTAAAGCTTTCAACCAGGATTTTCTCCACCTTCAAAACAATGCCTGGTTCTGTTACCACCCCTTACATAAATGAAATCCTTTACCATAACTTTTGACTTTTCCATTGCTCTCCTCGCTATAGCCTGCTCAGCTCCACTCTAGAACTCCACAGATTCTCTCACATTGGAATCTGAACGCTAATTACCCCATCCTCATCTGACCAACTAAATTTCTTGTTGTTGCATTTAAAAGACTCCCATGTTTTTTTACCCACCCTACCTCAAAGTTCTCTGACCCTATGTATTCAAGCACTTTCTCCACACTACTAATTCTGATTTGTTTTCTGCCATTCATCGGCCATCACAGGTGAGCTTCAGCTGCATTGCTCCTGCCCCCTGAAACTCTTCCGAAATCTCTTTTCCTTGTCCCCTCCCTCTTCTAAGCTTTCACAACCCATTAAGAACCTCAACAACAACAAAATTACATTTATAGAGTGCCTTTCACATCGGGAGGATGTCCCAAAGCGCTGGACAGTCAGGTGTTGGGGCCTGAGCATGGGGGAGGGGTGGTGTAGGGGTGAGGGAAGGCAGAGAGGTGGGAGGGAGACCAAAGGTGCGGTCGAAGAGAAGGGTCTTGAAGGAGGCAAGGGAGGAAGGGAGGTGAAGGGACCGTGGGATGGCGTTCCAGAGTGTGGGGGCAGAGAGGCTGAAAGCCCGGCCACCGATGGTCGGGCGGGAGACATGGAGCAGGCCGGAGCCCAATGAACGGAGAGAGCGGGCAGGTTGGTAGGGAGTCAGCAGGTAGATGTTTTCCAAACACTATTTAAAGGAAATTAGGTGATTTCAGGTGTGACAACAAATTTGGACAGCCCAATGTCATGATTTTGGATTGTCATTTAGGAGAATTTCATAGCCACGATCGAATCATGCTTTAAGGTGCAAATATTATCATGTTGGTCACATCATTGATTTGTGTAAAGCTTCATTGCCAAAATGGAAGTGCTAACCGTGACAGAATGAAACCACAGTCCTCACCCTTGACTCCAGGACCATTGCTGTCTGTCAGACATCAAGGCCTGGATGAGAGCTAACTTTCTTCAGTTGAAGGTCAACAAGATCGAGACCCTTCTTATTGGCTCCCGTCAGCACCTCCACACCTCTGGCGCTGACAGCCTCACCATCCAAGGACGCACACTGCACCTTACTAAGCCAGTCTGAAAACTTGCCGTCTTGTTCGACCCTCAACTACAGTATATTCTGTGAAGCGCGTTGAGACGTCTAGAAGACATGAAAAGCGCTACATCAAATGCGAGGATTATTATTATTACAAAGGCGATTTGTTGTTAGTGGGAGAGGAGGCACAGAAGCTTCC